ACTTTGATTTCATACCACCTGAATTTCAGAATCATCTCAGGAACAGGTTTGAGGCCTTGAACACTAATGAGCGAAGACCAGATGAGTTGTGGGAGGATGACTCTGATATATAATGCAATTTTCCAAGGAGATTTTACAAATTCCCTTTCCACCAGTGGTATGTGTTTCTATTGTTGTTTATCCTTGCAAAAAATAGTTTAATTCACTCTCTATCAGGAGTGACATCCATTTCCTAAACAACATGCCTCTGGAAACTCTATGAACTCTGATAAATGACAATAGTTAGAGAAAGACTTCAGGCTTTTTGTTCATATGGTCTCTTACGAGTCGTGCTCGACTTGACGGCAAACAACAACATAAGAGTATTTAGACATTTCCCCCCCCCCCAAAAAAAAGTATTTTGTAAGAACTTATCTGAAAATAATTACAAAGATGAACGCTTTGAGTTTCAATTTTCTTTGCAGTTGTGTCGTTTAGTACCTAATCAAGAGTTGATGATCCTTTTTAAAGAGTATTTTTAGCTTTAATTGGATACATTAAAACAGTTATTTTAGGATTCCACTCAAATTCTTTCAGTTTTTATTGGCTTATCTGAAAAACAGATGTTTTCTTTCTCATCGTAATTCTTAAGCTGCCATTCCAAGAATCACAACAGTCACTGAAATAAGAGGTATAGTCTGCTGTGTACAGAGATAGAGCTAATGAGTAAATCTTTCCAGTCTCTCTGGAATTGAGCCACATTTTCCTGTCAAATTGTTTTGGTTTTTTTTCTTCTTCATGGATAAAGTTGAATGGCTGGTTACTGTTGACTGTTTGAAGTAAAGCAGACCTCTGACACCTTATGGGTAATGTCTGAAGGTAAAGTGACACAAGATAAATGTCTGTGGTCTCATCTGAATATAGGTAAAGTCTCATGAAGCCAAGACTTAACTAAGTTGAATTTTAAATCCTGTTTTGAAAGTGCTTTGGCATAATGAAAATTAGGTTGTAGTGTTTTTACTTTTGTACAGTTAATATTGTTGTTGTTGTTATGTGTCGTCGAGTTGCTTGTGACTCATAGCGACCCTCTGTACAACAGCCCTAAACTCTGTTCTGTCCTGTGCCAATCTCATTGTCTCCAACACACTCATCCTGATTACCCCAGTCACCAAATCAATCCATCTCCCAGAGGGCCTTCCCCTCCTGTGCCTGCCCTCCACCGTCCCAAGCATGATGTCCTTCTCCAAGGACTGGTCTCTCCTTACAACATGACCAAAGTATGTCAGACGAAGCCTCAGAATCCTTGCCTCCATGGAGCAGCCTGGTTTAACCCTCTCCAGGATGAATCTGTTTTCTTAGCAGTCCATGGTACCCTCAGTACTCTTCTCCAACACCAAAGCTCAAAGGCATCAATTCTCCTTCTCCATAGTCATTGTCCAACTCTCTGACGCATAACAAGTGATTGCAAAGACCATGGCCTGTATCAGATGCACCTTATTAGGAATGGAAAATATTTGTGAAGACAAAGTTTTGAAAGTTGTAAATACTGACTGAATTTAGTTAATAATTTATCAAGGTATTTTGTTATATTTTAAAAGTAACCTACGTACTCAAAAGAGAATTCTTAAATTTTGGGAGGTAATGGAGTATCCAAAAATAGCAATTTTTATAACTCTTTATGTAAACAAAAGCTATTATCTAATTTTATTTTAAAGTTTTATAGAAAAATAAAAATGTCTTAAAATCCAGTTTTTTAAATAAAAAATAATTTAGTATCAGGTGTTTTTCTAATTTTCTAATTGACATAATATTTTGAAAGGATTTTTGTAAACTTTATCAGAAGATAATTGTAATTTAAACATTGAAGCTAGATAGATAAAGTGTCAAATTTGGCCCCACCAGAGGTAAAGCTGACAAAAAATATGTTTCTTGTATGATTTATTTTTTATACATTATGGAGATGAACCATGTATGAATTTTAGCTTAGTCTCTATTATGCTTTGCAGAACTTGGAATATAATTATTAACTTTTGAGTTTAAATTAAATGAATGACTTGAAATTTTTAAAACTGTGTTTTTTGTACAGAGTCACAAATCTCTGTTTTCTAGTACTCTAACATTTTTAAATAGAACTTGAAAGATTTCTGGTAAAGGTAATGAATGAGCTTTATTTTAGTAAAAGTGATAGAATGGAAATTTGGATGAATAAGAGCCAAAGAGATTTCTGGTTTCTTTTTAAAGAAGTTTATGAAACAGTTTGAGGAGATTGGGATTAAAGAAAACTATGCATTTTGTTTCTTGATTTTAAATTTTTGTGATAAACCGTGAAGTATATGAATTGTTTGTTACAATGTAGTGACAAATGAGAAATAAATTAAATACTTATGTGAAACTTTAAACAATTTTATTGCTGATAATAGCATGAAATAATAGTCACACATTCATAATTGCTTAATAGGTAGTTTGTCTTGATATGGCCAGGTTATCCATTTTTAAATGTTTTTAAACTTTTTCAGCTTAAAAAAATCATTGGTGCAGTTATATTTACCTCTTAAGTAAGAATAGAATAAAAAGCCCCTGTTAATCAAGAGTCTGCACATTTCTGCACATTTGAGTGACTCAAATACACCAACCATTCTACAGGACAGAGGTGATTTACAGCCTCAGGAACCTAATGGAGGGTCACTGTAAGTCTGAGTCAACTAGAAAGCTGTGCAGTCTGAGATCTGAAGTCTAACCAAATCTAAATCCACTGCTGCAGATTTCCAAGGCTGCAAATCTTAACTATTGTAGTCCTCAGCAAGTTGTATTGCCAACCCAAAAGCTCCTTATCTCTGGCTGTTTAAATTCATGAACAGCTCCATGCCAGGAAGATGGGCCGTCTCTTCCACTTATGATTTACAGCTTTGGAAACCCCAGACAGTGCTTCTGTGGGTCAGAAACAACTCAGCAGCAATGAATTTGAGTAAATCTTTTGGTTATCAGCATAACATGCCACCAGCACCTCTTAAAACCCTGAAGAATTAAATATGTCTCCTTAAATTAATCTGTCAGTTCATTGTAGGTGCCTGGGAAGACTACATTTTAGGATAAAAATTCTGTTAATTTCAATTCATTTAACCAATTCTTCCAGTCTGGGCAAGGCCACATCAGTGACCATATTGCTCTGTTTCAACTAGCTTTGCTATTTGCTCATTTTACCATGTAGGGTAGATAATTCTGTTCCAGGTAATATATACGAAATTATTGTAAATTCAGAAAACATTCTAATGAAAATTCATTTTAATCTTTATTTTTTCAGTTAAAAATTAATATTTTCTCTCTAGCACTTTCTCTTCTGCTTGGCCATGTTTCAGAATAATTTAAACAACAAATACACTTTGAGAGTCTTGTCAGATTATGTTCCATTAATTTGCATTGCTTTCCTTTTAGATCCTAGGAGTCTTAATAAATAAAGACTATTGTAAAAATAAAAACTATAGAATATGAGAAATAACTTTCTGAACTTTTTACCTTTTACTTTTAAGATAAAGATACTGATATCACTGTGAAAGGGACTATGGATGACTTTGGCCTGCGAGACAGTTTGAGCATTGCATCAACGGATTCATTTTCTTCAGCTGCAGAGGTAAGATATGTCTATTCCTAATCACAGTTTCTCTCTGTTTTTCATCTGAGAGTCCAGTGTTACTATTGTAGTGTAATTTAGCAGTAGCCGTTTAGTTAGTCTCTGTCACATGGTGGACACCAGAAATACAACAGTGAATTCTATTCCATTGTACTTAAAATGAGCGCTGGCAAATGCTGTAGATTATGAATGATACATAGACATTGGTATTTTTATAAAAACCACTTTATGATATCAAGTCTTGAAAATGTTCAGATTATTTTATTCAGAATAGATGAATTTTGTTGTTGTTGTTGTTATGTGCCGTCAAGTCGTTTCCGACTCATAGCGACCCTATGCACAACAGCCCTAAACCCTGCTCTATCCTGCGCCAACCGCACCGCCTCTGACAC